ATTCATTGAAATTCATTACCATATTATCCAATATATAGATAAACATGACATTACTTTTGTTATATCTGTTAACTGATATAATATAATTTGATTGCAGTCGAGGAACGGGACTAAATAGGATAACATCATTGATAGTGTATTGTATATTATGGTATTGTTGTCTAGAATCGATACATCGTGTTAGGACAGTTGTATTTTTGGTTGACTTTTAATAATATATATATTTCAAAAAAATAAATTAATATATCTATAATTAACTACAAACACACACACACACACACACACACACACACACACACACACACACACACACACACACACACACACACACACACACACACAGACACACACACATAGACACACACACATAGACACACACACACACACACACACATAGACAACAAAACATTACTTACAGTATAGTATACATCGCATACTGAACAGTCATATGTATAACTATTTTGATGTAATGTTGTATTTTTGATGCCATATTTGATAACATTATCGGTTTTAACATTAGTTATATGACTACTGCTGTCCAATAATGTTACCACTGGTTCATGACTACTGTTTGTTGGAAATGTCAACTGAAATTCAAATTGATTACCATTTTTATACATCAGATATAAATCTTTGTAATCATTATCCGATTTCTTCTCTAAAATCCACATACGATAGACTCGGATGCCATCAAACCGTCCATTTGATGCCAATATATTGCATACCGTATTGTGATTACAGTCAGACCAATGATTGAACATAATTATGATAACAAACAATTGCAATGATATAGACATTGTAATAGTCATATTCACTATAAATTGTAGACAATTATGTTATCCTATTTTGTTTGTGAGTTAAATAACTTTTTGTTGTTTGTAATAATCGTTATTATTAACAGACAAGTAATGGAAAAATTATTATTATTTTGTATTTATTTAAATCTATAACAATGTAATTAATAGATTATTATAATTTCATATGATTTATTTATTATTTATTGACTTCAATATTTTTTTATTATTATTAAAATCTATATTATTATAATTGTTATGTCGATATTGTTATTATTATTATTGTTTGTATAAGTTTTTAAAAGTATAATTTTAAAACTTAATACTAAATACTAAATAGATGTAAATTTTTATCAATAGTTTATCAATAAGTAAAACTCAGAGTAAATTAATAAAAATACAATTATTGAAAAAAAACAAATAAATACACAAAAAAAATAATTTAATAAAAACAGTCATTACTTTTGATGACAGCATTTGATTCAATGGTGTCCAACAATAGTATGGTTTTCCGTCGATCGTAAAGAACAATATATATCCGAATCTGTTGTTAAGCTTATTATCGATGAGAAAGCCATTAGTCGACAATACCGTCGACCAGTGGCCAGAGATTGTCGGGTAAATCGTCGATAAACTTTGGATACGAACAGTAATTTGATTTGATTTTTTTTGTGTGCATTCATCGGAATCTATTGTTTTATTTTCCAAAAAAATATATATGAATTTTCCGACACCTTTTCGATATGTCTATTACATAGCTATTACATAGTTTGACAATTCATTGGCTACGGGACTGAATACAATTGAATCGTTGAGTTTGTATCGCAAATTGTATTCAATTTTGTTTGTTATATCCGATCCGATTTAAATTTTAAATCATAAATTACTTTTTAAAAAAAAAATTAATTATCTCATAAAAATTAATTGTAATTAAATAAATAAAAATCAAATTGAAACAAAAAAAACTAATAAAACTATAGTTGATTTTTTTTAAAAAAAATATATTTGATTAATAAGTTAATTAATTTATATGTTAATTAATTAATTTAAAAACAAATATTTCTTTAAAATATATTGAATGAAATATATTGAATGAAATATATTTTTATAGTAGTAAATAAAATTGTATAATTAAAACAAAACAAAATTAATAATTATTTACACCCAAACAAAACAAAAATAAGCTGAAAAATATATATATATAGTTTAGTCTAGAATTTAGTTTCAAATAAAAAAATTATAGTATTATTTAAATAAAATGTATTATTTAATTATCTAATTATTAATTTGTTAATATATTTTTTATTTAATCCAGTGATTGGATGGTCGTTACTGAGCTCTCATTCAGCTTTGAGATAGGTTTCAATGTCTTAGCCTATAATACAAACAATTTTACAAATATTATAGATTTTATCAATAAATTATTTAAAAAAAGGAAATTTTTTTTCTCTACATTTTTGACATCTTTTGATTTTTTTGAGTAACAAATTATTAGATAAATGACGATAACTATGACGACAATAGTTATGACAACAGTTATGACAATCGCTGCCATAATGTAAGGCATAAAACCATTTTTGTTGGTCGAGTCAGTTGTAGGTGTTGTTTGGGTCCAAATGTTTTGACAGTTAATGGCATACGGTTTGAGACTGTCTTTGGATTTGCACTGAAAATAATACGATTATTGATTAAAACAAAAAAACAAATAAATATGATTTACAAGAAATAATAATACAGGTGAGGAGAATAAAGTTGAAGACGTTTTTGATGAACGATTTACTAGTTATGGCAAATATTGGATAATAGATTTTTACTAAAAAATAATCTCCAAATATGTAAAATTGTTATCATATAAAATATTTTAAAATCTAATTAAAAATGTGGCTACAATTTACTTTCAAAGTTGAGATATACCTTTAGGCTTTTTTAACCAAAATTATTTTAGTGATTTTTGTTTGTTTAAAAGAGTATTTTAAATATTAAAAAACTGTTATTTTTTGGGAACATAGTAAAACTTAGAGGCATCATTTGCTAAAAAATAAAATTAATTTTTAATAAAAGCAATAGTCGTTTTGACCATTTAAAATTTCTATAGACATTAAAGTTATTATTTTAGTTAATATCTTTAATAATAGTGAAAAAATAACTAAATATGCTTTAAATAAAAATAATATTAATAATTTAAAGATATCTTTAAAAAAAATACTAAATACTATAAATTAATGATGAAAATTTTTGTCTAAAACTTTACAGTCTTAAACAATGATAAGATTGAGTATATCTTCAAGATTTTCTATATTTGTTTTTTAGATATTTATTAAAATTTTGTTTTATAATTTAATTTTGATACATTAGACATGACTATATAAAATGCGGAAAATATAATTTATTTCCGAACTTTAACTAGAGTAAAATAATGTAATTATTTATTGCTGATAATTTTTTATATTAATGTGATTTTCCTTTATTAATTTAAGAAATTTTTATAAAATTTTGCTGTGGATTTTGAAGTTTTAGAACTAATTAATTGTTTTAAATTTTAATTTTTTAATTATAGTTATTAATATAACAATTATTAATTTAAATTCATTTATTTGAGGTATATTTAACTTATTTTATTTGTCTCTGGACTTGGAATTTTAGAACTTTTATGCAATTTTTTCAACTAATGTTTACATTTAATATTAGAAATTATGATTTTTATCACTTTTTTTGTTTTAAAATATTTTATTATTAAATAATAATAATTATTATTGTTTAAAAATCACTAAAAGTGTATTCCAACTTTGAAAGTAAATTGTAGCCAAATTTTTAATCGGATATTAAAATAATTTTTATCACAACAATTTTACATATTTGGAGATTATTTTTTAGTAAAAAAATAATATCTAATATTTGCCATATTTTGTAAATCGTTCATCAAAAACGTTTTCAACTTTATTCTCCTCACCTGTAAAAACATTTATTACTTTCGGTGACAACGTTTGGTTCAATGGTGTCCAACAATAGTATGGTTTTCTGTCGATCGTAAAGAATAATATATAACCCAAATGTCGATTATTTTTGCCATAATTGACAATACCGTCGATGTGTTGCCAGAGTTGATCGGGTATGTCGTCGATAAACTCCGGGCGCCAACACTCAAATTGTTGGTGACATTCATCGTAATCATAGACAATGATATTACTATTGCTTGCATTTATATAGACAAACTTGATGTTAGATTTGTCATACCTGTCCAATACGATAACATAGGTAGCTATAGTGTTAGTGACGGGAATCGGATTAAATATAACACCATTAGTTCTCTCAACTGTTGTCGATATGTTCAATGGTTTATCACTATTATTGTCAGTTGATTTACGTCCAAAACATTTATACGAAACAATTGACTTGTTTAGGTTGTCCTTCAAATTAAAAAAAAAAATTAACAATTAATTATAAACAAATATATATATATACAGTATATAGTAATTAAAATATTTAAAAATAATATATTAGATAACTATATAACTAAATATATTTATAATATATATATATATATATATATATATAGATAACTTACGTATATATAACAAAATCCACTAATAACCTTTGTATTGAAACCAAACATATCGATAAAATTGGTTTCATTTATTTTATAAGTATTGTCGGCTAATGTCACCAATGGTTCATCAAAACTATTATCAATTTCAGGGAACGACACGTCAAACATCAATGACAAACCGTTTTTATAGATTGCATAGAGATTTGTGTTATCATTTGAAGAGTTTGGTTTAGAAATCCATTGATGATAGACTCGGATGCCATCAAACTGTCCATTTGGTGCCAACATATCGCACACCGACTTGTTGTTGGTATTGGTGTTGTTGTTGTTGTCTTGAAAACAGTGTGACCAATGTGTGGACACAATTAAAACAAATAATATCAATGAGATATACATTGAAATCATATTAACAACATTATTATTATTAGACAATTAATATAATACACACAAAATATACAAAATAAAATTTTTATATCTATTTATGTATTTACAGTAGTTATCAGTTTGAATCTACAAATCACACTAAACAATGAATTTATTTGTAATTATTTTATTTATTATTTCGTTTTAAAATTATAGATAATCGCGAGTATTGATTGTAAATAATGTATTAAAAACAGTATTTATTTTTTTTATATTAGCAAAAAATCATTTCACAAATGATATGTAATCATAAAATCTATATTTTTTTTACTTATGATTAACTAATTTTTTTAATTATCTTAAAGTACAGAAATAAATGTTTTTAAATGTACAATAAATTATATTACAATCTATTGAATTAAAGTAATAGTTATTTATAATTTTTAAAAAAATTTAAATTGTAATCATTATTTTAGTTACAATAAAAAAAATATTCTATTCATTAGCTAAATAATTTAAAGTAAATATAAATTATTAATTATACAATAATAATAATAATGATAATAATGACCGTTAATTTTATTAATAGACAAACATTTATTTTTTTTGATCAATAAGTTTGTTAAAACAAAAAACTATGAAAATAATAATTGTATTAATAGTACTGTTTAGACAATTGTCGTTATCATCAGCTTATAGTGACAAGTTATGTAAGGCATTGGCACCCAATGGCAAGTATCAGCCTATCGGTGCCTATCGTCGATGGTTTCAAAACAGTCATATGGAAAGCCAATACAATGACAGCTATTGGATGTGGAACCGGGAAAAGGAATGGCAGTTTAGGCTGACCTTTGATAACAATAACTGGCCGATTGATGTTGAATTGGTTTCAAACAGTTTAGTCAATAGTATCAACACTAGTATTGTCAATAGGTTTGCACCCAAATGGACGACTAAATCAAATGGAAAACAGTTTTATGAATCATACTATTGTGAGGTCTACTATGAGGTATACTTCAGGCCCTTTAGCTATGTGTGTGTGTGTGTGTGCGCGCGCTCATACTGTACTATATAAACTAACCCATACTAACCCATACTAACCCATACTAACCCATACTAACCCATACTAACCCATACTAACCCATACTAACCCATACTAACCCATACTAACCCATACTAACCCATACTAACCCATACTAACCCATACTAACCCATACTAACCCATACTAACCCATACTAACCCATACTAACCCATACTAACCCATACTAACCCATACTAACCCATACTAACCCATACTAACCCATACTAACCCATACTAACCCATACTAACCCATACTAACCCATACTAACCCATACTAACCCATACTAACCCATACTAACCCATACTAACCCATACTAACCCATACTAACCCATACTAACCCATACTAACCCATACTAACCCATACTAACCCATACTAYCCCATACTAACCCATACTAACCCATACTAACCCATACTAACCCATACTAACCCATACTAACCCATACTAACCCATACTAACCCATACTAACCCATACTAACCCTATTTTTATGGTTTATACTGTATATATTTAGTATGAGCAAAACGAAACAGTAACTACTTATTGTTTAAGACCACCGGCCGATCAGCTTAGAAAAAATGCCCAATTCATGGCTAATTCACTGATAATTAGTCCATTTCCCGATAAGAAAACAATTTATACAATTATTGTCGACCGGGAAAATGTTGTCCCCAAACACATTAAGTATTACTATTTGGACAGCGATCGGATATACATTTATGACCGGTGCCGTAGACAAGGCTGTCGATTGCTGAAAATATTTCAAACACTCAATCAAATTATGTTTAGGTTTGTCGACGCTATTGTCGACTATGATTACGGTACCAAACGTCAGGGTTATGTACTGTTTTTTACCTACAATTCTCAGCCTTATTACTGTTTTGCCACTTTGACTGAACTGTCCCGAGAGGTATGTACTGGTATTATACAGTATAACTGATTGTATGATTGTATATAATAATAATAATAATAATTGCGATAAAAATAATACTTTTAATAATAATTACATTGTGTCTTATGTCATGATATTGTAGTGTAAATCGTTTAATATGTTAAAACGTTTGGCCTCTTATTGTACTAATATATGGTTATCCAATGCCAGTAACACCACTACTACTACTGTCTCCATCAGCAGTACAGTCCTATCGACATCCAGTGCTGAATCAACTAATTGGACGACTAGTGATACAACAATAACAACAACACTAGTAGTCGACGACAATAATGACACAAATACTAACAGATCGTCAACTTATTTATGGTTTTATGTCATTATAATTGTCAGTATTATTATTGTGATTATATTGATTGCAATTATCTATATAATGTATAAAGTTTATGAACCGCCAAAACCTAGCGATGATAACAAATTGGACAAAATTGTATGAATATATATATAAGTTGTTTGTTATTATTTATATTTTGATAATAATAGACATATAAAAAATAATTAATTCAATTCAATTCAATTGTATAGCAATCGAGAGTTCCGTCAGAAATTCGGGCCAAAGTCGGCCAAATGGACACCGATTGGTCACTACATGTGGATAACATATCGACTGAATCTATAAAATCAAAAATGTCATAATTAAAAGTCAATAATAATAATATTCTCATATTATAATAATTTTTATTATTAGTTAATTTAATACAATAAAAAACAATATATATATTTTAAATAACCTAAAATGTTTAAAATTATTATTTATATTATTTTTCTTATATAAAATTTTATATTAAAATATATTTTAATTGTATCTAATATTGTATTAGGAATAAAAAAAAGTAAATAATAATAATTTATTACTTATTAAATTTATTAAATCAAAAAAATATTAAAATATTACATAAATCTAAAAAATCTAAATTATTAAATAAATTATTATATATGTCTATAAAATAAAATAATATATTATAATAATTTCTAGTCATCGCTAAATAACATTCAAAACCATCGCTAAAACAACTGATTCCTCCAAAATCATTGCTGAATCTAATGACTTAACCAATAAAAAAAAGGTTTTATGTCTTACATTATAGCAGTGATTGTCATAATAATTATTATTGTCGTCATTGTTATTGTCATTTGTCTAATAATTTATTACTCAAAAATCATCTAAAGAAGATAAAAATGTAAAAAATATTTATTTAAAAAAATTTATTGATTAAAATATATTATTGAAATTTTAATAAAATAGTAATAAAATAGTTAACACATACAACAATACTCTATCTCTATCTCTATCTCTATCTCTCTCTCTCTCTCTCTCTCTCTATCTCTCTCTCTCTCTCTCTCTCTCTCTCTCTCTCTCTCTCTCTCTCTCTCTCTCTCTCTCTCAATCTATCTCTTTACTAAACAATGTTTTTCACGCAAAAAAAAAGTATATTTTATTAAATTATTTTTTATTTAATAAATTAAAATTATTAATAATCGCGCGATACATTAAAATTAATTGCAATTATCTATATAATGTATAAAGTTTATGATACATTAAAATTAATTGTTTGTCTAATCTATAGTCTAATCAAAAATCACAAATATTAATCATATGATACAATAAATTCATTGTTTAGTTTGATTTATTGATTCAAACTAAAGAATTCCTAATAAATAAAATTTTTTGAATACTTTTTTGTTTGTTTGTATTATTAGTTAGCAATAGATTTTTATTCGTTAAACTATTGGTTATTAGATTATAAAAAATATATTATTTTTTTTATATATTAATTGTCTAATAATTTATAATTGGATATAATGTCTATGATTTCGTTGATATTATTGTTTGCTGTAATTGTTTTGTCGTCCATTAATCGGTCGCAACAGCAGTCGGTTTGTATGATTTTGGGATATTTTCGGTTTGCAGACATCCGAGTCTATCACAAATGGGATGTCGACCATCGAAATGCTAGAAACTATACCGATATCTATATGATGTACAAATACGATACTGATCTACAAATTCAATTTGAAGTATCGTTTCCCAACACCACCGATACAGACAATAGTAACAGTAGTAGTAGTATTGATGAACCACTGGTGACAATAGATATCAATAGAATTCTTACACGACATCGTATTACATACAAACATGTGGGCAAACCTATCGTCAAAACTATACGAACTGATCCGCTAAATGATTATCTTATAATCCCATATTATAGATGTATGTACTGTAATGCCGATGAAAAGAGTGTATATGTACCGGTATGTATAAATTAGTAGTAATAGTAGTATTAGTATTAGTAGTAGTAGTAGATGTATTTAATTCTATTATTATTAACAAAAATTATATAAATGTTTTTATTAAGGAAAATGGATTATGGAGTGAAACGACAGAAATTGAATGTTTGGAAAACATCAATGGATCGGATAATCCATTGAAAACTGAATACATTTTGCAATACAATATCACGGATTCATTTGTATTCAGTCCCGTACCACAGGAGTCGTCAAATTATTTTATAGTTATGAACAAAGAACACAAAGGTGTCGGAAAATTCATATATTTGTTGGAAAATAAAACATTAGACTCTAATGAATGCAAAAAATCAAATAAATGTTTGTATCCAAAGTTTATCGACGATATACCCGACGATCTCTGGTCACAGGTTGACGATATTGTAGACTATGGCTCACTCGTCGGTAATAAACATAACAATAGATCCGGTCATATATTGTTCTTTAATATCAACGGAAAACCATACTATTGTTCGACACCATTCAACCAAACGCTGTCACCAAAAGTAATGCCTGTTTAAAAAAAAAAAATTATTTTTTGTGTATTTATTTGTTTTTTCAATAATTGTATTTTCAGTGCAAATCTAAAGCCAGTCTCAAACCGTATGCCATCGACTGTAAAAAAATTTGGCCGGAAATGATAACAACAACAACTACAACAACAACAACAACAACTACAACAACAACTACAACAACATCGTTGACCACCATATCGGACACCACTGTCACCCAAACCACTGATACAACTACTGAATCGTTCAAAACTACCGCTAAGTCTACTGAAACGTTCAAAACCACTGATAAAACTACCGATTCTTTCAAAACCATTGCTGAATCTAACGTCTCGAACAACAAAAATAGTTTTATGCCTTACATTATAGCAGTGATTGTCATAATAATTATTATTGTCGTCATTGTTATTGTCATTTGTCTAATAATTTATTACTCAAAATCATCTAAAGAAGACAAAAATGTTAAAAATATTTATTAATAAAAAATAAAGATTTTATTAAATTTTTGTTGTTTTTTATATTATAGGCTAAGCCATTGCAACCGGAGATCAATATGGACTCAATTAAGTCTATCCCATCTCTTGATGGACAGCCCTCACAACTACAACAACAACAGGAGATCGAGAGGTCAAAGTAGGCCTAATATTGACGACACTATTTGGGGGTTTACTATCAAAATGAAATGCCAACAAAAACTTATTTTTTTTAGTTGAAATTAGTTTGAAAACAAACTATTATTTTTAATTATTTGTATTTTATTTTTTAATCTAAATTTTAGTTTATATTTTTTGAATTAGTTTTGTGTTTAACTAATTAATGATTTAATTTATACCATTAATAGTACTATTACTACTACTCAATATATATATATTTGTTTTTAATTAATTAATTTAATTAAATAGCATTAATTATTATTAATTAGATATATATTACTAATAAATAAATATTTTATTTATTTTATTTCAATTTGATTTACAGACATCATTGACTAAAAAAAAAATAAAAATGATTTTTATATAATTGATTAACATTTTTATACAATCAATACACGCGCTTATCTATAATCTAAACAAAATCACAAATATTAATCATAATTATAAATATAATAATAAATTCATTGTTTAGTTTGATTTATAGATTCAAAATTAAACAAAACCTAATAAATAATTTATTTTTTTTTGAATACTTTTTGTTTGTATTCTTATTGTAACAGATTTTTATTCATTAAACTATTGTTCATTAGATAATAAATTTTTAGATATTGAATAAAATCTGAATAAAAATTTATTAATTATATATAATGTCTATGATTTCGTTGCTATTATTGTTTGCTGTAATTGTTTTGTCGTCCATTCATTGGTCACAACAGCAGTCGGTGTGCGAAATATTGACACCATTTCTTATGTTTGAAGGCATCCGAGTCTATCATATATGGGATGTCGACCATCGAAATGCTGAAAACTATACCGATATCTATATGATGTGCGATTTATTCAGATCACCACAATTTCAATTTGAAGTGTCGTTTCCTAACAACACTGATAACATTGCGACAGACAATCATAGTATTGATGAACCACTGGTGACAATAGATATCAATAGATATTCAACAAACAGTAATATGACAAACGATAATATGGCCAAATTTGGCGTTAAAACTATACAAACTAATCGACTAAATGATTATCAATTATATTTGAATTATAGTTGTATGTCATGTATTGCCGATCCTAAGCTTTCAGTCGTATGTATAAAGTAGTAGTAGTAGTTGTTGTAGTAATTAATTCAATTAAATATTTAACTAAAAATATATATATAAATGTTTTTATTAGTTAAATGCAACTGTAATTGAAATAACAGTTATTGAATGTCTGGAAAACATCAATGGATCGGATAATCCATTGAAATCTGAATACATTTTGCAATACGATATCACGGATTCAATTATATTCAGTCCCGTAGCCCAGGAGTCGTCTAACTATATAATAGTTATGGACAGACATCGCAAAGGTGTCGTAAAATTCATATATTTGTTGGAAAATAAAACATTAGATTCCGATGAATGCAAAAAATCAAATTACTGTTTGTATCCAAAGTTTATCGACGATATACCCGACAAACTCTGGCCACGGGTTAACGCTATTGTCGACTATGGCTTAGTCGTCGGCAATAAGCTTAACAATAGATCCGGTTATATATTGTTTTTTAATATCGGCGGAAAACCATACTATTGTTCGACACCATTCAACCAAAGGCTATCACCGAAAGTAATGATTGTTTTATTATTTTTTTGTGTATTTATTTGTTTTTTCAATAATTGTATTTTCAGTGCAAATCCAAAGCCAGTCTCAAACCGTATGCCATCGACTGTAAAAACATTTGGCCGGAAGAGATAACAACAACAACTACACCAACACCAACACCAACACCAACACCAACACCAACACCAACACCAACACCAACACCAACAAAATCGTTGACCACCATATTGGACACTACTGTCACTCATACCACTGATACAACTACTGAGTCGTTCAAAACTACCGCTAAGTCTACTGAAACGTCCAAAACCACCGATAAAACAACCGATTCCTCCAAAATCATTGCTGAATCTAACGACTCGAACAACAAAAATAGTTTTATGCCTTACATTATAGCAGTGATTGTCATAATAATTATTGTCGTCATTGTTATTGTCATTTGTCTAATAATTTATTACTCAAAAAAACCAAATGAAGATAAAAATGTAAAAAATATTTATTAATAAAAAATTATTATTAATTATTTATTATAAATTATTAATATGAATTTTTGTTGTTTTTTATATTATAGGCTAAG